GGAATAAAGGCAATATCCACAGTAAAACAATATTTAGATATACTTACGTGACAGATTTGGAGGTCAAAATTCTATACAATTAGTATTTTAGAGAAAATAGGCAATATGTATTTCTGAATCATAGTTATGGTAGGCCACTTTGGTGACACAATGCCTGTTAGTGAGTTTCCCACTTAAATTTACTCGCAAAAAATCAATTTCATTCAGAGAATTCTATGGATTTGATTTCGTCTTGATCTAATCAGCGGTATCAATGGGATCCAGGATAGGATCTTGTCCAGTAAACTTTTCGTATCTACCAATCCACCACATTCCTCAAGTGCCAGGGAGTTTTAGGATACATCTGAAGTTCATGGTAAGCCAAACCTACCTAATTCACATCATGTGTTTAGAAATATATTAAATAGTCAACATTGTGCTTTCCGGTAAATTCAGCATAGCTAGAATATGGTTGGTAATTAAGACGGTTGATCTCTGTAAGAATGATCGTTACTCTTGTCCCATTGTGAAACTTAGAGGTAAATACGAATTCGCTTATTCGATATCCATTCACAATAAAAATGTTATTAAGAGGAGGTTTAGCTTTTAATTAATTTGACGGTATGCGTGTTACAATTTGACAAACACGATCTTTTTGTTGAGGTCATGACTTAATCATTCGTTTTTAAGTAGGTTTTCGAGATATGAGATACCTTCACCCGATTTGGTTTAAGGTGATGACTAGTCCGTCATCAACTTAAATGAAACAGGATCAACACATCTCATATATCTGATTTACTGGTAATCTAGAAGACCTACTTACAATTGAAAAATAAGTAATGCGATGATTCCTATAGCAAATAAAATTGTGCTTTACCAACAATCCCATCATAGAATATGATATGAGAACATGCCTGGCCTTCCTTGAAAATCACATCTGCATTGTGACCCAAGGGCATTCGTGGCAATGTGGCGTAGTGGTTGACGTGACGAGATTATACGCTGCACTGTCATTGTTCGAGTTCCGCTGGGGGTATTAACGGGGCCTAGGCGAGGTTGAAACGGCAGTTTACCCCGGATGAGAATACCTCTTGGTAATCAAGGCTATGTGAATTTCGTTGGAAGCGTAAGGTCCACTCATATCATTGTGGAAAATTCAACTACCAGTCCTTCATCCGCTTAAGAGAAATAGGGTGAAAAGATATAATCTCGCTGAAGGCAGCTTATGTATCCGGATTTGTATCAAGAACTTATTCAACCATGACTATTTTTCTTACACATCTATATTGACACTTTCATACATGGTCTGAATTCTTATTCTAAAGACTGTTTCCTTGGTAACAGTGCGCTGTTTGCCCAAGGGCAGAATTCGTATATGAACATAAGCTTCCAAGCTAGCATAGAGGATATCCTGGGCAAACATGACCATATTTTGTGTGGCTAGACCCTGGGTGAGAACAACTTTTGGGTAAGCAAGATTATGTGAAATTCGATGGAAACGTCAGCTCTACTCATAGCATTGTGGGAAAATAATACTATCAGTCCTTCATCAGCTTAAACAAAATGGGATGAATACGCATCATATACTTATTTACTGGTAGTCTCGAAACTCTACTTACATATGAAAAATAGACTTTTTTACTTTAAGGCTTTTAGAGTTTCCTCTTTAATTTATTTCGAAAGTGGAATTTTTTCAACATTGGACCCAGGCAGTTGTCTTTTGGGTGTTTGCTTTATTATTAGTTTCGAGTATTAGGTGCAGTGATAGGAAAAAACACCAGAGTAAGCCAACCTGGTCGAAATTTTTAGGTCAAGTAACGGTTTTTTCATCAAAAAATATTTCTTGAAGATATGAAGACCAAGTTGTTGTGGCCTCTGGTATGGTTGCAGTCTCCTTTCGATTTATAGAAGTTGTATAGGAAGAAAAGTTGGGTTTCGAGGAATCCGAAGTCGTCTGCCATAGTAGTTGTCATGATTCTCTTTTGACGAGTTCGTAGCTTGGTGAGGTGAATGGCAAAACTCACTGATGATGCCAGCGAAACGTTTGAGAATGTATCCAGTCCACTGTCAGATGCTGTGAATCATGACAACTACTATGGCAGACGACTTCGGACTAGGTGCGTTCTACATAGTCACCCTGACAACAAGGCCAAGTTGCGACAGCGAGGTCAACCAACTTCTAAAAAATATTTATATTTTGAAGATACCCTATAGTTTTACTATCAGTGTCGAATGTGGTATTTCTGGATAGACATAATCTGGGTTAAAATATACTCTGGGGTTTGAGAAAATATGAACAGAACCTAAAAGGGATCAATTTATAAAGAGTAGAGCCTTTCGAGAAGCAAGTTATACGAATTACTATGAATATATTGTTAAGTAATTTCTAAGTGTTTAAAACTGTATACATTACATAAGTTCTAATTGGAATTCGTTACTATTTCTGATTGACATCTTTACTCAATTACACAAGTTTTTTAGTTCTTTTTATCTTTCCATGACATGAACATTCAAATAAAACGAAATATATATGTATTGCCAATCAAATACTTCAAAACGTCAGTGTGCATCTTCATCCTCAAATAAGCATACTTCGTGCTTGAGTCACCGTTTACTGGGAAGACGAACAAAAATGAGTAAGGGACTATGCATAAAGCATTTCTTTAAATAGTATAGGGGATATCAAGTTCCTTGATAAGGTGATTGACAAAAACTGGTCGCTGTTGCGATATCTGATTTTGAATTTTGTAATTTTGAAATGGTGTTTGGCTCACCAAGTTATTAAGCAAGTTCTTTTAAAATAGGACTGAAATAAAGCCCGGTTATTTTGTCCGTAATCAATTTGGAAAATGTTCGCCAAACCATTCACAAATATAACTATTTGGATAGTAATAACAGTTTGCATTTATGCAACATACTATGTAATAAATGTTTCCTGAGCTAATTATCCTCAAATTCAGCACCGTTGAATCTGCCTTTGAATGTGTGAGCACTCTTATTTTTACAGAAAGCATAATGAAATGCAGCAAAAGTATCGATGTTTCAATGGGGCATAAAGAAACGAAAACAATTGACTTAGTGATTGTCAATTTAAGGCACAAAAATAAATATTAAAATATGAAAAAAATAATATATTTGTATAAGGTAAAGGAGATAATGTCAGGGATACATCCAGGGTCATAATCCTCTCAACATAGTTGTATGTATAATTTGCAGACATAGTTACTAAATTGGAACTGTCTGGGTTAAATTAGCCATTAATTTTATGATACTTAGGCAGGAGATCGTTTACATTAATTGTCAATCCCTGTTGTCACACTGGATAGTATCAGTATACCAAATATTTTGATTCCATAGAATTATCCTTTTCTACTTTAATTCTTTATTCCTCTCGATATTTTGCGCGAAGCCTATTGTTCCGTTGTTTGAACAGAATGCTTATTCGTTTGCTCTGTCCTTCTAAACCTCATCATATAAGCCTTCCGAAGTCCATGCCTCTTGGTTAGTCTGGCAGGCATAGACTGGGGGGCTCTGTACGGAAATTCCATTCAGGCGATTCCGAAAATTAGGGACCATTAGCTCCCATTTCTCCAGCTCGCGTGCAAACTCACACCATAGATTAGAGCATATCAACCGACTGGCCCAGCGGCCTGCTTCACGCCATAGCAACCGGATTAATAGGATACCGTCTCGACTGAGGTAATGCTCAGTGAACCATTCCAACAGCCAAGGTGAAGCAGCCAGTCTACTTGGTGATCCTTGAAGCTGTAGCTGAGGATCTTCCATCTGTGGCTGCAAGAGATTTGAGGCTAGGGACAAGCGGCGGGTTTTTGAGTTAATCAGCCACAAATAGGAGGAAAACCGGGCCAAACCAATCCCCATCTGGATTATGTGCCAGACGGAGATCAGGCCGAAAATAAACTCGTTTGCCAAATTGCCAGGTAGGACGCATTGTACGAAACGACGGTGCTTTGAGAATGCAGCCTCGCCAGATGGACGTGTATCGAAGAGACACCAGGCAACGTGTGGCCAACGAGGAGGTGATGTCGACCAAGATGATTCCGATTGTGATGCTATACTTTTTGTATCTTGAATAAAAGAAAAATTGCCTGGCCAGGCGTCAGGGTCTCGTAGACGCGTGAACAATTGAAGACGCTGATGTTGCCAGGGCAACGAGTGAAGAATAGGAGTGCCAAATAGGCGCCAAATGAGGAGAAGTTGCGTTGCGGAAGTTAGAATCTGGACAGTCTGTACTAGCAGATATAGCCGAGTTAGGGAGCAGCCTTTGTGAGATCTGAAGACAGGTGCTTCTTGAAACTCGAGCGCAGACTGTAGCATCCTGCCTTCTGGGCGATGAGCCAAACTGGTTGGCCTCAGGTGAGTATCTGCTAAAGCATCCGAAGAACAATGCTGCCGAGGAAGGCGGTTAAAGAAGCAACTGAATAGTCTAGTTATATGGGCGAGTGTTGCCTCTCGGTCTCTAGGGCATTGCATGTGCTTGATCTGCTTGGCATCGTAGATTATGAAATTGACCTAATTAAGATAAAAGGCAAAAAATTTCATCTATTGGGAGGTAAAACAGCCTGTCATTAATCTCATAGTAACCCATTTAGGTTGATGATAAGGTAGCTGGTAACATACCAGGAAAATACAACGACCTAGAATGAAAATTAAGAGCACATCTTCAAATGCTTCTAAATAAGCTAGCCTAGCAAAGTGAAGGTTTCTGCACAGAAATTACGGCAGCGTTATAGGAATGGCAATTTCTTCTATACATATATCAGAAACAATTGCGCTGTCCACACTCTGCATGTAATGGTAGTCAAGCCAAAGTTGTAAACAAGCCCCAATTCATAATTGTTGAGCTCAATTCTATTTCGAGAGAAGATGTTTGATGAAGAGTTTCGAAGTTCAAACCCACGAGAAGTCTACAGCGGATACCCTTTGACCAACTGTCGATTGGCTTTGTTACAACATTCTTATTGACGCTGTCTCTGAGGCAATCACTTTCGATTCCTGAGAAAATGTACTAAACTTTCGTCCTTCATATGAGGAACATCGTACATTTAGAGTATCACTGTTAGAACCATCTTTCGGTTAACTAATCATAAAGGTCACCGGCTTCTCACTAAAGTCTCTGGACTAGTTAGCTTGAAGATTATTGTAAGAATGATACCCTGTTCTGATGAGGCCAGTCAGGTGAGGGAAAAGTCTCAGCACGTTTTCACCAGAATCGCAGGAGTTTGCCTCGGGAACAGCGTCAACACGAATGCTCCATTTAAGCCAATCGACAGCTTTCCATCGTCTTCTGTCGTGATCGAACTGTAAATATAACTTCGAAATGGAAATGAGTTGAATAATGATAAACCAAGATATTTCTCACAACCCAACTTTTTTTCGCATACAAAGGCATTTAGTTCGGTCAGAGAGGATTTTCATTATAAGAGCATTCAAGTTTGGGCCCTAACACAACTTATTTTAAATATAATCACGGAATGTATGTACACTAAACCGACAAATAAATGCATGTAAAAGTATAGGAAGACAGTATAGAGGACAGAGGAAAGTTTCCAATAGAAAAAGCATACTTATACGAATTAAGGGCCATATTGACACTGGTGATGAAGTCAGGTTAATTTGTTTAACTGGGTGAATATCACCCTCCTCTCAAAAAAACAGTGTATGTATGAACCAAATGAAGCTTTGTACCCGACTAGCTGGCTTTCAGAAAATGACTTCTGTTGATAAGAGCTGTGTTCACACTAATTTGTTTTATGGTGATGAGGGACTAGTAGTAGAAATTTTCCCCCAATCATATAAGTAGGTCTTAAGTTACAATTCATGCTCACTTAACCTTGCTCCCAAAAAATGTATTCACTTCGACCTCGCCCAGGTATCATCAGCGCCTCATGTGAGGTTTCATGGTTCTGAGTCCTGCTGTGAGTGCTGATAAAACCTGCGTGAAGTTGAAATTGCAGTACGGTCCGGATGGGAATATGTTTTGTGAAAGCAAAGCTGTGTGAAAATTAAATGAAAGCGTAAGGTCTAATAATATCGTTCCAGGAAAATTCAAGTACCAATCCTTCATAACCTTAAAACCTAATTGGGTGAACGCATTTCTTATTTAAGATCCACTAGCAGTCTCGAAACCATATTCAAAAGCGATAAAAACTTTGTTAACCCTTCATGTTATCAGCTTATCTATTCTAATGGAGATAAAACAAAATGTAGGTATAGTAAAATTTTTGAAGATATGAAACATTTCTTGAGTCAAGAGGCCAGTCAAAAATTATCCGACTAAACCAACCCGATGCGAATAAGGGAAATATAAAAACTGAGAAGCTTTAAAAAGGTTATTCTAAGCATTGTTATCGTCTAGATTGGGCAATGAAGACTGATTATTACCATTATTCCCACATAAAGTATTGTATATGAAGCGAATTCGGATTGCATTTGCGTTTATACGGAAGCATACGAGATGAACCGAGTAGATTTACACGTTAGTTGATAAGTGGGCAGGTTACAAATAA